TCCCCATACTGATGCTCGGTTTGAACTGCAGGAGATTGTCTTGACCATGTCTACATGCCTAAATGCACTAAGTTGCCGCCATGTGATTGGCTGATTAGAAATTAAGTGTTAACGAGCAGTTGGACAGGTATACCTAATAAAGTGGCCGGTGAGTGTATATCAGTATATTATGAACTATATCTTATCTGATGAGCGCATTTGGACACTCAACCTGACCGAATTAACACAATTAACACAACATTCAATTAAATATCCAGTAAACAGTCACACATGATGAAGTTAACAAGATATTAAATTCATCTCCCCCTCTTCCTCTTCTTCCTTGCGCAGCTCAACCTGGACATGTCTTTGTGTCCTCCCCCCGCCCTGCTGCTGCGGCGGCAAGGCTGAACAGATGGTTTACTTTAGTGATCACATGAGTTATTTACTTTGAAAATTTGAACAAAAAAAATAAAAGAAACTTTCATTCAAAATCAACCTGTTTATCTTATGTTCTCACATCCTTAGAATTCTGTGAAAATTCAATCTGGAGTTAGGCCCACATACGAACATTATAATATTCTGTTGCGAGCGCCAAGTTTATTTTGTATGCCAACATCAATAAAAGAAAGAGCCAGTCCATGGAGCGAGATGCGTCCTTTACGCACAGGTGGTTCCAATGTTAATGTCATTATTGTAATTTGTTTATGTTGAGAGCTGTGCGCACAACCCACTTTTGTCATGTGGGGTTTAAATATAAGCAACTTGATGTGATTGTCTGCAGAAAAGGGTGTTTGTCTGACCAGTGGGTCCAACCTTACACATGCCAAATCCCTCTGTGCTTATTTGAGAGAGTGTGGAGGACGCCCTGCAGCACTTACCGCGACATTTGTTGAGGGGCTGCCTTCTCTCGCCATCTTGTGGCATTGCTGTCTTCAGCCATCTCTTGATCTCTTCAACTACTTCACGAAAATTGTAATACGCCTCGCCTCGCCAGTGGCGGGTTTAAAGGTGAGGAGAGAAGATGGTGTGATTGGTGAACACAGGTCTGGGCTGTGTTAACCCACTCCACGCCTTATCCCCTCCCTCTCTACTACTTACGCCACTGGGAGGAGCTGAGTTAGGGAAGGGGGATACTTTTGCCGGGCTGCACTGCTCACCAAAATATCAAAGTGTGCTTGGGCACGCCTTTTCGGTGCAGCAGAACTGACTTACGTCACGCAACCCTTTTTTTTTTTTTTTAGAAAAATAATTATTATTATTTATATATATTATTATAATTATTATGATCTGGGCCTTTTTTTTCCAGTGGCCCAAATCTTCCCCCATAGTGAGCTGACCGGGTGGTGCCTCAAAAATAAAACAAAGGGGTATGTGGGTGACTGGAAGGTAAATATATCATAATAAACAAATGGAAACTAGAAAAATTGCACTTCCTTGCAGAAAATGCGTGGAAATGCTGAGTGCTGAAAGCTTAAAAAGCTATGCTTAACTGTTAATTAAAAATGGAGAAAGGTATAAATGTAAAAGCTGTTGAAGGGGTAAAGAAAAAATAGAAGATAAATAATTGTGAAAATGGTTGGAGGACAAAAAGTATGAATATGCTCCATAAATTGAAATTTGATTCATGCTGGAAGAGGCTGGAAAAATTTCTAAAATTGCACAAAGTTTGAATGAAGAAGTAAATTACCTTAAAAGGCAGGTAAGTGAGAAATGGCATAAGTTTAAGTTGTAGTTCTAGTAGTAGCATGATAAGTAGTCAGAGTAGTGATATTAGTAGTCATGTAATAATAAGAAGAAGTCAAAGTAGTAGAGCTCTTAGTAGAGGTAGTAAAAGAAGTAGAGAAAGTAGAAATAGTAGCAATAGTAGTTGAAGTATAAGTCAAAGTACTAGTTTAATTGATATAAGCAGTAGTTGTAGTAGAAGAAGTGGGAGTTTGTTTGAAGGGTTGAATAATGCATGAATATTAAAACTAATTTAAAACAGAAAATTTAAATAATTAAAAATCCTCAAGTATTAGAAAGTTTTGAAGTATCAGAAAGGTTTGAGTCAGTTTGAATGAGGTTTAATTTGTTTGAGAAATTGAACAATGCATTACAACTGAGTGATTTTAAAATGGGGAAAATTTAAATGAATAAAAATCCTGAATACACCCCATAATGTCCTCAATGAGCTGAAATTTTGAAGCCCTGAATAGTTGCTGTAGGTCAAAGTTTGTGGCAGGAGATAGGGGCCAAAGTTTGTCAAGTGCTTTAGTGAAGGGTTTTAAATGTAACCCCCAGTGCTCTGTGTGCTGAGCATAGACTGTATATAGAATGGACAGCATCAGCCTCCTCGTTGGGTGAAGTCACTCCCGCCTCCGCCAGCAAAGCTTATGGGGCTGTGGACAAAATTTAGAAATTTATTACACAGAATACACGTTTTTCTCCCCCCTGCTTGTGATGTTGACATGTGGTTATTGTAAGACTGGTTCGTGCTCAAGTCCTGTTTTTTCTGAGAAGCTCCTTTCTTGAAAGTTATTAGGGAGTTCATGTTTTCTATGATAGAAATGTTTACTATGTTTACTATGTTTACTATCAGCGACTCTCGCCGACTGTGCGGCCGAATGCGCGCATCGCTACTGTGCAGCGCTGGTTTCAGGAAATGAAGAAAAATCCCGGAAATATCGAGAGCATTTGGCTTCAAATCCGTATACAGGCGGTAGGTGGAACCAAGTTGTCTATAGTATATACAGTCTATGGTGCTGAGCCTGGCTTCTTTTCTTCTGTAACTGCTATATTCATAATTAGCTTATTAGAACCGCAGGATTCTGCTGAACACGTTGATACAATTAATTAACAAAATCCTGAATACATCCCATAGTGTCCTTAATGAGCTGAATTTCTGTAGCCCAGAATGGTTTCTGTAGCTCAAAGTTTGTGGGTGGAGATAGGGGGTGAAGCAGACACACACACACACACACACACACACACACACACACACACACATTGTCAGAGTGTGTGTGTGTGTGTGTGTGTGTGTGTGTGTCTGTCTGTCTGTTTATCAATGCATCCTAAACAGATCAAAAGACCTGGGGCCTTATGTATCAATACTTGCGTGGAACTCATACCAGAAACGAGCGCACACAAGGTCCGTCACGCTGAAAAAAATCTGTATGTATCAATGTGTGCGGGCGCCGAAATCCACGTGTGTTTCCTTGATAAATCCCAATCAGCGTGGAATTGAGCGCAGATGTCGGAGTGACTGGGCCAGCCCCCGTTACGCCCTCCTATAAATATGCAGATTTATTTAAATCGGGTCTCCCTGTCCTCGCACGCAGACAAAATGACAAGAAAAACTAAATTTACGGCGTGTGAGGTGGAGGTGCTGGTGGCGGAGGTGGAGGAGCGACAGCGTGTTTTGTTTGGCAGCCTGTCCAGTGGCGTCAGTGCAAAACAAAAACGCTTGGAGTGGGAGAAAGTTTGCGAGAGGGTGAACGCGGTGGGTTCCGAGACACGCACCCCCGCGGAGATAAAAAAAAAGTGGTCGGACCTCAAGGAGGTCAAGCGGCGTACAGCTGTCCTCCAGAGGAGTACCGGCCAGACAGGTGGGGTTCCGGGGGAGGAGACCCTCACGCCGTTTGAGCAGCGGGTGGTGGCGATTATTATTATAGGGTAAGTGGCGTGTCACACAAATGTCCACATACTTTGCCATCCCACTGAGCAAAAGACGTATATTAGACGTCGAGTCTAAGTTTATACTTCATTTCAACGTCGGGATTCAGTCTATTTTTGGACGTGATTTATACTTCGCCCTTAACTTCATTTTTCGATAACTTTTTATGCAATAAACAACTGTAATGTGCATAACTGACCTCTTAATACTGGATTACATTACCTATGATACCGTGGAGAGAAATGTAAACGCAACAGATACACAGAAGCAGGAATTGAAATGAACCAATATTTTGATTGTGTCACAGAAATCAATGTGTCGGCCGTGTCGCCGGCTTGCGGAACCCCGGCCCGCGTCAGCCCGTCCGCTGGCTCGGAGTCGTCGGCCAGGACCAGCGGCATTCGGGCCACCCCGGCCCCCGGCCCCAGCACCAGGATCAGCACCAGCGCGCCGACAAGCGGTGGAGCGTCCACCAGCCGCGGCGCTTCCGCTGGACCACCCGGACGCAGTGGAAGGGTCCTCGCGGAGGGGGTCCTGCAATCGCAGGAAGAAATCATCAGGGGGATCGCGGGGATCAACGAGCGGCTGGACCGGCTCGTATATGTCCTCGAGCGTCTGGTGGCGAAAATAAATTAATTTGGCTCATTGAACTGTGTATTCACTTCTTACCCATTCACACTGTGGCGATGAGATTCTCCCGCGCGAGAACGGCGGCCGGCAGTGATCAGCTCGCATCCCTCCGTCTGCTGCTGGTTCGTCATGTGGGGCGACGTGCTGCTCGGCCACTGGGATGTGGTGCAGCTTGTCACATAGTGAGTCACCAAACACCGCCACACAGCGTCGCCAAAGTGCCGTCATCGCAAGTATCCGCTCAACGCCAATTTCTACACCACCTCCTGACTTTGCGTTGATTAGCGCTGGAACCGACGCTATAATAATAATAAAGATATGAATAACATATAGTGGGAAAGCTTTGCAATCCCACTAAATAATAATAAAGAAATAGAAGAACAACAATAAGTGGACATGCTTAATCAGCATTTCCACTTCATAAATCATAAAAAAACAAATGCTGCTGGTCAGAATTTAGGTTATTTGTTTACGTCTAAATTCGTTGCCATGGTAACACAATGAGCCTTTGCTCTATGGTAACACCATTCCATTGGGATGATGTCACAATGAGCCTTTGCTCTTTGATGATGATGTCACCATGAGCCTTTGATCTTTGATGACGTCAATCTCTTGACTGGAGGTTTGAGAAGTGTCAGACTGCTTATAAGCGAAAGATAGACGCCTTTACCATCAAGAAAAAAAGAGTCCAAACGAGTTTGCTTGTTTATTTTTTGGCTTCTCAGTGACAGAGAAAATGGCATTTGATAACAACAAAACCTATGAACTACCCAAAATGGCATTTGATAACAAAACCTATGAACTACCCAAAATGGCATTTGATAACAACAAAACCTATGAACTACCCAAAAAATACAAGTACCTGAAAGATTTGGGTGAGGGCTCATACGGGGTAGTGGTACAGTGTTTGAACACAGACACCAACAAAACTGTGGCTATAAAGATCCCCAAACTGAAAATGTTATATGACAGCGAGGTAAGTATTTTTGTTTTGAAAGCTCACAGCAGATTTTGTACATATGGAGATACAGCAGGTGTTGTCTATTTACAAAGTTATAGTTAAGTTGTCTGTCAGTAGCTGCAGTATAAACAATACGGGTAAAAGAGACAGAAATCTGCATTTGCTTTTTTAATCAAACATTTGGAAGTCAATTTGAATTTTAATTTGTGCCACATCTAAGAGTGGCTTGAATCATTTTTTGAGTGTCGGTCATCTTAATAAATGTGATTGACTCACCTCTGGCTTAGTTCAGGTAAAAAGTAAGACCTGGGAATGAAATAGGAATAGTCTGACTGACTGACTAAATATAGATGTGAACATTAAAACATGAACATTAAAACATGTGCTTTGTGTCCTCAGATGAAATCGATGAGAATGTTGATGAGGCGAGGGCTAAACCGTCGCAACATTGTCACGTTCCATGAAAGCTTCAGTACGATGAATGGGGAAGCGCTGGTCTTTGAAAATTTAGGTATCGACATACAGAGCTACATAGATGAAGTTGTACGCGGACAAATGATGTTGTCGGACGTCAGGACCATCACTGTGCAGGTTTGTATACACACCATCCTGAAGAAGGAGTTTGTATTTCCAAATATATATTCTTAATTATTCATTTCATTGTATTAGTCTGTTAAACTTTTGCAGTCCTCTATAATGTGTTTCTATTGTTCGCTTTATAGATTGCCACAGCCTTGAATGCTTTGAAAGAGATTAGGGTTATCCACAGAGATATAAAACCAGACAACGTCATGCTGGTGGATGAGACCCGACCCTTCAAAGTCAAGCTGATCGACTTTGGCTTTGCCACATCAACTTCCCTAACCAAGACTGGCGAGATTCTTCAAGCTCCGTCCTACAGGTAAGCCTAGTAAAATGCTGGTAATGTACATGCATGTAATAAAACGCGGGTCAAACAAAACAGTACCAATACATGTGTCTTGACTTCTTTATGATTGTGTTCCTGACATTATCTCTTTTTTTTTTTTCTTCCATTAATAGAGCTCCGGAGATTATTCTAGGTCTACGATATTCAGAGGCCATTGACATGTGGTCAGTGGGCTGCATGGTGTTCTACATGATCACTCACATGCTCCTGTTTAGCGGAAGTACTGCTTATGACATAGTAAGTGTTTTTATATACTTTCCTCATTTTCTCACTTTAGCCAGGTTGAAACTAGTTGTGTTGGTGTTGCATGTGCTTATGTTTTATGTGTTTAATTAACAGCTCTATCAGATCATCGAAACCTGTGGACAGCCACCGAACCATATGTTGAACGAAGGGAAATATACAGCAAAGTATTTTCTGAAGACCGAGAAAAATGGCTGGATACTAGGGGTATTATATCAATTATCAGTATTATTTTATCATTATCTTTGTATGTAAATAGGACTTATGTCCATTGTTGGGAAAAATAACCTTCATATAAAACATATAACCTTCTTTCAGACACCTAAAAAGTACTGGGGCATCAATGTAAAAGTCCACCTATGGCGACAATTTACCAGCCTGGATGATCTCCAAAAAGTAAGTGTGATGTTTGGAATGTTTCACCATTAAATTGGTTTAAAGGAGGGGTATCATGCTTTTTTTTTCAGACTCTATATTTCTCACAGTGGTATATTAAAATATCATTATTGTCGCTGCCGTCCTAAACACTCTAAGCTGCTGTCCCTTTTACACCCCCTTTATATATATGTGTGTGTGTGTGTGTGTGTGTGTGTGTGTGTGTGTGTGTTGTAATTTTTGAAACATGGAAAAAATATTAATTATTGAAAAGCATGACTCCCCATCCCCCCCAAAAAAGAAACAAAAAAAAATCATCAGGATGACTTGACTAATTGTGTTTTTTTTTAACCAGGAGGGAATGAACACACAAGAGCCTCAACAGTTCAAGCAGTGCATGAAGCTGATAAAGGCCATGTTGAAGATAGATCAACATAACAGGATCACTCCCTGTGATGTCCTCAGACATCCGTTCGTCACCCAGTAAGTGTGATTTTTTTTAAACCATGCAATTGTTTTTAAGATCAAAGTAAAGAGAGGCCAGAATTGTTTTTGCCATTTGTCCTTACAAACCTTTTAGCTACAGTCTCATGAGTTAAACACATAATTTTTCTTTCTAACAGGAAAAATCAGACCAAGACCAGAGCCAGTACATCTGTGCGACCCTTGGATTTCAATCCCAGTGCAGCTCCTATGGTCGATCTGATCGCTAAAACAAAGGTGAGTATGGTCCAACCTGCTTCACCCGAGAACACAATGCAGCTGACACCCTTGGATTTGAATCCTAGTGCAGCTCCTTTGGTCAATCTGATCACTCAAACAAAGGTGAGTATGGTCCAGCCTGCTTCACCTGAGAACACAATGCAGCTGACACCCTTGGAATTTAATCCCAGTGCAGCTCCTTCGGTCGATCTGATCACTCCAACAAAGGTGAGTATGGTCCAACCTGCTTCACCTGAGAACACAATGCAGCTGGAACCCTTGGATTTGAATCCTAGTGCAGCTCCTTTGGTCGATCTGATCACTCAAACAAAGGTGAGTATGGTCCAGCCTGCTTCACCTGAGAACACAATGCAGCTGGAACCCTTGGATTTGAATCCTAGTGCAGCTCCTTCGGTCGATCTGATCACTCAAACAAAGGTGAGTATGGTCCAACCTGCTTCACCTCAGAACACAATGCAGCTGACACCCTTGGATTTGAATCCTAGTGCAGCTCGTTTGGTCGATCTGATCACTCAAACAAAGGTGATTATGGTCCAACCTGCTTCACCTGAGAACACAATGCAGCTGGAACCCTTGGATTTGAATCCCAGTGCAGCTCCTTCGGTCGATCTGATCACTCAAACAAAGGTGATTATGGTCCAACCTGCTTCACCCGAGAACACAATGCAGCTGGAACCCTTGGATTTGAATCCTAGTGCAGCTCGTTTGGGCGATCTGATCACTCAAACAAAGGTGATTATGGTCCAACCTGCTTCACCCAAGAACACATCGCAGCTGGAAGACACCGAAAGAGAAGTCAGGTAAGAGAAACAAGTTCATTACTAATTCTTGACAACAGAAGGTGATGCTCATGGGAGATCAGCAAACACTCCCAATTTTCTACAAAGGGGTCACCAGAATCAACAAAAAAATTTCCTACTGTGTCCAATTAAAGACTGAATTCAGAAGATAGTAGAAGGAATAGAGCGCTAACTTTGTGTGTGTTTTTAGATTGCAGGCTGAGCCAAAAAAGACGCCGGAAGTCTCAAAGGCACATCCTCCACCACCAGATGCTGGAAAAGAGACAAAGAAGAAGAAGAAAAACTGCTGCCAACGTTTCTTTGCCTGGATAAGGAAGACCTTCCGCTGCAATCAAGTGGGAGTCATGGGGGTTACTTGTTCAGAAACTTCATAAAACTGAATAGAACATGAAGAAAAAACAAACCCCCTCCCTCCCCCCTTACTCATTCTCTTTCTCTCACCCGCCCTCTCCCCTCTTCTCTCTCTCCCTCTCTCCCCCTATCTCTCTGTATTCCTCCCCAACCCAGCAGCGCATGGTGGCTGTCTGGCATGAGTCGGGTCCTGCTCAAGGTTTCTTCCTGTTAAAAGGAAGTTTTTTCTTGCCACTGTTACTCATGTCAGATGAGATGGGCCAAACCCCATCTTAGGTTGGGTCTTGATAATTCATCAAACAATAAGCGTGGTCTAGACCTGCTCTTGTAATGGGGCGGCACAGTTGCGTAGTGGTTAGCACTGTCACCTCACAGCAAGAAGGTCCTGGGTTCAAATCCAGCTCAGGGCATTTCTGTGTGGAGATTGCGTGTTCTCCCTGTGTCTGCATGGGTTTACTCCGGGTGCTCCGGTTTCCTCCCATATCCCACAAGAAAAAAAAAAAACCTCAGTAACTCCGCCAAATTGTCTCAATTGGGCCATTTTTGCCGGTCCCAAGCACGGATAAAGGAGGAGGGTTGGTATTGTGACATTAAAAACAAACAGGAATCGACAGAAGAAAGTTAATTTGTAGTTCAAAACATGTTTGGGGTGTTTTTTTACTCACTTTTTGTCTCTCCCAGGATGTTGTTCCTCTCCCTTACAATGTCCATTACATTAGATATGGAGTTTCTACATGGAAGTAGAAGAGGAGTTGAAGGCTTTTGAAGGTGTGGGAAGAAATGTGAGAAAACAGGCCTTTTTGAACATTCCGTAATGCATTTCTAATGGGAGAAATTGGTCGGAAAACCGGGAGAAAAACACCCCTGAATCTCCTCAATGAGATGAATATTTTTAAGTTTAAATGTTTTGAATACGTTGAAGTATGTGTGTTGAATAATAATAATAAAGATATGAATAACATATAGTGGGAAAGCTTTGCAATCCCACTAAATAATAATAAAGAAATAGAAGAACAACAATAAGTGGACATGCTTAATCAGCATTTCCACTTCATAAATCATAAAAAAACAAATGCTGCTGGTCAGAATTTAGGTTATTTGTTTACGTCTAAATTCGTTGCCATGGTAACACAATGAGCCTTTGCTCTATGGTAACACCATTCCATTGGGATGATGTCACAATGAGCCTTTGCTCTTTGATGATGATGTCACCATGAGCCTTTGATCTTTGATGACGTCATTCTCTTGACTGGAGGTTTGATAAGTGTCAGACTGCTTATAAGCGAAAGATAGACGCCTTTACCATCAAGAAAAAAAGAGTCCAAACGAGTTTGCTTGTTTATTTTTTGGCTTCTCAGTGACAGAGAAAATGGCATTTGATAACAACAAAACCTATGAACTACCCAAAAAATACAAGTACCTGAAAGATTTGGGTGAGGGCTCATACGGGGTAGTGGTACAGTGTTTGAACACAGACACCAACAAAACTGTGGCCATAAAGATCCCCAAACTGAAAATGTTATATGACAGCGAGGTAAGTATTTTTGTTTTGAAAGCTCACAGCAGATTTTGTACATATGGAGATACAGCAGGTGTTGTCTATTTACAAAGTTATAGTTAAGTTGTCTGTCAGTAGCTGCAGTATAAACAATACAGGTAAAAGAGACAGGAATCTGCATTTGCTTTTTTAATCAAACATTTGGAAGTCAATTTGAATTTTAATTTGTGCCACATCTAAGAGTGGCTTGAATCATTTTTTGAGTGTCGGTCATCTTAAAAAATGTGATTGACTCACCTCTGGCTTAGTTCAGGTAAAAAGTAAGACCTGGGAATGAAATAGGAATAGTCTGACTGACTGACTAAATATAGATGTGAACATTAAAACATGAACATTAAAACATGTGCTTTGTGTCCTCAGATGAAATCGATGAGAATGTTGATGAGGCGAGGGCTAAACCGTCACAACATTGTCAAGTTCCATGAAAGCTTCAGTACGATGAATGGGGAAGCGCTGGTCTTTGAAAATTTAGGTATCAACATACAGAGCTACATAGATGAAGTTGTACGCGGACCAATGATGTTGTCGGATGTCAGGACCATCACTTTGCAGGTTTGTATACACACCATCCTGAAGAAGGAGTTTGTATTTCCAAATATATATTCTTAATTATTCATTTCATTGTATTAGTCTGTTAAACTTTTGCAGTCCTCTATAATGTGTTTCTATTGTTCTCTTTATAGATTGCCACAGCCTTGAATGCTTTGAAAGAGATTAGGGTTATCCACAGAGATATAAAACCAGACAACGTCATGCTGGTGGATGAGACCCGACCCTTCAAAGTCAAGCTGATCGACTTTGGCTTTGCCACATCAACTTCCCTAACCCAGACTGGCGAGATTCTTCAAGCTCCGTCCTACAGGTAAGCCTAGTAAAATGCTGGTAATGTACATGCATGTAATAAAACGCGGGTCAAACAAAACAGTACCAATACATGTGTCTTGACTTCTTTATGATTGTGTGCTGACATTATCTCTTTTTTTTTCTTCCATTAATAGAGCTCCGGAGATTATTCTAGGTCTACGATATTCAGAGGCCATCGACATGTGGTCAGTGGGCTGCACGGTGTTCTACATGATCACTCACATGCTCCTGTTTAGCAGAAGAACTAATCATGACAGAGTAAGTGTTTTTATATACTTTCCTCATTTTCTCACTTTAGCCAGGTTGAAACTAGTTGTGTTGGTGTTGCATGTGCTTATGTTTTTATGTGTTTAATTAACAGCTCTATCAGATCATCGAAACCTGTGGACAGCCACCGAACCATATGTTGAACAAAGGGAAATATACAGCAAAGTATTTTCTGAAGACCGAGAAAAATAGCTGGATACTAAGGGTATTATATCAATTATCAGTATTATTTTATCATTATCTTTGTATGTAAATAGGACTTATGTCCATTGTTGGGAAAAATAACCTTCATATAAAACATATAACCTTCTTTCAGACACCTAAAAAGTACTGGGGCATCAATGTAAAAGTCCGCCTATGGCGACAATTTACCAGCCTGGATGATCTCCAAAAAGTAAGTGTGATGTTTGGAATGTTTCACCATTAAATTGGTTTAAAGGAGGGGTATCATTCTTTTTTTTTCAGACTCTATATTTCTCACAGTGGTATATTAAAATATCATTATTGTCGCTGCCATCCTAAACACTCTATTTAAGCTGCTGTCCCTTTTACACCCCCTTTATATATATGTGAGTGTGTGTGTGTGTGTGTGTGTGTGTGTGTGTGTGTGTGTGTGTGTGTGTTGTAATTTTTGAAACATGGAAAAAATATTAATTATTGAAAAGCATGACTCCCCATCCCCCCCAAAAAAGAAACAAAAAAGAATCATCAGGATGACTTGACTAATTGTGTTTTTTTTAACCAGGAGGGAATGAACACACATGAGCCTCAACGGTTCAAGCAGTGCATGAAGCTGATAAAGGCCATGTTGAAGATAAATCAACATAACAGGATCACTCCCTGTGATGTCCTCAGACATCCGTTCGTCACCCAGTAAGTGTGATTTTTTTTAAACCATGCAATTGTTTTTAAGATCAAAGTAAAGAGAGGCCAGAATTGTTTTTGCCATTTGTCCTTACAAACCTTTTAGCTACAGTCCCATGAGTTTAACACATAATTTTTCTTTCTAACAGGGAAAATCAGACCAAGACCAGAGCGAGTACATCTGTGCGACCCTTGGATTTCAATCCCAGTGCAGCTCCTTTGGTCGATCTGATCACTCAAACAAAGGTGAGTATGGTCCAACCTGCTTCACCTGAGAACACAATGCAGCTGGAACCCTTGGATTTGAATCCTAGTGCAGCTCCTTTGGTCGATCTGATCGCTCAAACAAAGGTGAGTATGGTCCAACCTGCTTCACCTGAGAACACAATGCAGCTGGAACCCTTGGATTTGAATCCTAGTGCAGCTCCTTTGGTCGATCTGATCACTCAAACAAAGGTGAGTATGGTCCAGCCTGCTTCACCTGAGAACACAATGCAGCTGACACCCTTGGATTTGAATCCTAGTGCAGCTCCTTCGGTCGATCTGATCACTCCAACAAAGGTGAGTATGGTCCAACCTGCTTCACCTGAGAACACAATGCAGCTGGAACCCTTGGATTTGAATCCTAGTGCAGCTCCTTTGGTCGATCTGATCACTCAAACAAAGGTGAGTATGGTCCAGCCTGCTTCACCTGAGAACACAATGCAGCTGACACCCTTGGAATTTAATCCCAGTGCAGCTCCTTCAGTCGATCTGATCACTCAAACAAAGGTGAGTATGGTCCAGCCTGCTTCACCTGAGAACACAATGCAGCTGGAACCCTTGGATTTGAATCCTAGTGCAGCTCCTTTGGTTGATCTGATCACTCCAACAAAGGTGAGTATGGTCCAACCTGCTTCACCTGAGAACACAATGCAGCTGACACCCTTGGAATTTAATCCCAGTGCAGCTCCTTCGGTCGATCTGATCACTCCAACAAAGGTGATTATGGTCCAACCTGCCTCACCTGAGAACACAATGCAGCTGGAACCCTCGGATTTGAATCCTAGTGCAGCTCCTTTGGTCGATCTGATCGCTCAAACAAAGATGAGTATGGTCCAACCTGCTTCACCTGAGAACACAATGCAGCTGGAACCCTTGGATTTGAATCCTAGTGCAGCTCCTTTGGTCGATCTGATCACTCAAACAAAGGTGAGTATGGTCCAGCCTGCTTCACCTGAGAACACAATGCAGCTGACACCCTTGGATTTGAATCCTAGTGCAGCTCCTTCGGTCGATCTGATCACTCCAACAAAGGTGAGTATGGTCCAACCTGCTTCACCTGAGAACACAATGCAGCTGGAACCCTTGGATTTGAATCCTAGTGCAGCTCCTTCGGTCAATCTGATCACTCAAACAAAGGTGAGTATGGTCCAGCCTGCTTCACCTCAGAACACAATGCAGCTGACACCCTTGGATTTGAATCCTAGTGCAGCTCGTTTGGTCGATCTGATCACTCAAACAAAGGTGATTATGGTCCAGCCTGCTTCACCTGAGAACACAATGCAGCTGGAACCCTTGGATTTGAATCCCAGTGCAGCTCCTTCGGTCGATCTGATCACTCAAACAAAGGTGATTATGGTCCAACCTGCTTCACCCGAGAACACAATGCAGCTGGAACCCTTGGATTTGAATCCTAGTGCAGCTCGTTTGGGCGATCTGATCACTCAAACAAAGGTGATTATGGTCCAACCTGCTTCACCCAAGAACACATCGCAGCTGGAAGACACCGAAAGAGAAGTCAGGTAAGAGAAACAAGTTCATTACTAATTCTTGACAACAGAAGGTGATGCTCATGGGAGATCAGCAAACACTCCCAATTTTCTACAAAGGGGTCACCAGAATCAACAAAAAAATTTCCTACTGTGTCCAATTAAAGACTGAATTCAGAAGATAGTAGAAGGAATAGAGCGCTAACTTTGTGTGTGTTTTTAGATTGCAGGCTGAGCCAAAAAAGACGCCGGAAGTCTCAAAGGCACATCCTCCACCACCAGATGATGGAAAAGAGACAAAGAAGAAGAAGAAAAACTGCTGCCAGCGTTTCTTTGCCTGGATAAGGAAGACCTTCCGCTGCAATCAAGTGGGAGTCATGGGGGTTACTTGTTCAGAAACTTCATAAAACTGAATAGAACATGAAGAAAAAACAAACCCCCTCCCTCCCCCCTTACTCATTCTCTTTCTCTCACCCGCCCTCTCCCCTCTTCTCTCTCTCCCTCTCTCCCCCTATCTCTCTGTATTCCTCCCCAACCCAGCAGCGCATGGTGGCTGTCTGGCATGAGTCGGGTCCTGCTCAAGGTTTCTTCCTGTTAAAAGGAAGTTTTTTCTTGCCACTGTTACTCATGTCAGATGAGATGGGCCAAACCCCATCTTAGGTTGGGTCTTGATAATTCATCAAACAATAAGCGTGGTCTAGACCTGCTCTTGTAATGGGGCGGCACAGTTGCGTAGTGGTTAGCACTGTCACCTCACAGCAAGAAGGTCCTGGGTTCAAATCCAGCTCAGGGCATTTCTGTGTGGAGATTGCGTGTTCTCCCTGTGTCTGCATGGGTTTACTCCGGGTGCTCCGGTTTCCTCCCGTATCCCACAAGAAAAAAAAAAGAAAAAAAAACCTCAGTAACTCCGCCAAATTGTCTCAATTGGGCCATTTTTGCCGGTCCCAAGCCCGGATAAAGGAGGAGGGTTGGTATTGTGACATTAAAAACAAACAAGAATCGACAGAAGAAAGTTAATTTGTAGTTCAAAACATGTTTGGGGTGTTTTTTTACTCACTTTTTGTCTCTCCCAGGATGTTGTTCCTCTCCCTTACAATGTCCATTACATTAGATATGGAGTTTCTACATGGAAGTAGAAGAGGAGTTGAAGGCTTTTGAAGGTGTGGGAAGAAATGTGAGAAAACAGACCTTTTTGAACATTCCGTAATGCATTTCTAATGGGAGAAATTGGTCGGAAAACCGGGAGAAAAACACCCCTGAATCTCCTCAATGAGATGAATATTTTTAAGTTTAAATGGTTTGAATACGTTGAAGTATGTGTGTTGAATAATAATAATAAAGATATGAATAACATATAGTGGGAAAGCTTTGCAATCCCACTAAATAATAATAAAGAAATAGAAGAACAACAATAAGTGGACATGCTTAATCAGCATTTCCACTTCATAAATCATAAAAAAACAAATGCTGCTGGTCAGAATTTAGGTTATTTGTTTACGTCTAAATTCGTTGCCATGGTAACACAATGAGCCTTTGCTCTATGGTAACACCATTCCATTGGGATGATGTCACAATGAGCCTTTGCTCTTTGATGATGATGTCACCATGAGCCTTTGATCTTTGATGACGTCATTCTCTTGACTGGAGGTTTGATAAGTGTCAGACTGCTTATAAGCGAAAGATAGACGCCTTTACCATCAAGAAAAAAGAGTCCAAACGAGTTTGCTTGTTTATTTTTTGGCTTCTCAGTGACAGAGAAAATGGCATTTGATAACAACAAAACCTATGAACTACCCAAAAAATACAAGTACCTGAAAGATTTGGGTGAGGGCTCATACGGGGTAGTGGTACAGTGTTTGAACACAGACACCAACAAAACTGTGGCCATAAAGATCCCCAAACTGAAAATGTTATATGACAGCGAGGTAAGTATTTTTGTTTTGAAAGCTCACAGCAGATTTTGTACATATGGAGATACAGCAGGTGTTGTCTATTTACAAAGTTATAGTTAAGTTGTCTGTCAGTAGCTGCAGTATAAACAATACAGGTAAAAGAGACAGGAATCTGCATTTGCTTTTTTAATCAAACATTTGGAAGTCAATTTGAATTTTAATTTGTGCCACATCTAAGAGTGGCTTGAATCATTTTTTGAGTGTCGGTCATCTTAATAAATGTGATTGACTCACCTCTGGCTTAGTTCAGGTAAAAAGTAAGACCTGGGAATGAAATAGGAATAGTCTGACTGACTGACTAAATATAGATGTGAACATTAAAACATGAACATTAAAACATGTGCTTTGTGTCCTCAGATGAAATCGATGAGAATGTTGATGAGGCGAGGGCTAAACCGTCGCAACATTGTCAAGTTCCATGAAAGCTTCAGTACGATGAATGGGGAAGCGCTGGTCTTTGAAAATTTAGGTATCAACATACAGAGCTACATAGATAAAGGTGTACGCGGACAAATGATGTTGTCGGACGTCAGGACCATCACTGTGCAGGTTTGTATACACCATCCTGAGGAAGGAGTTTGTATTTCCAAATATATATTCTTAATTATTCATTTCATTGTATTAGTCTGTTAAACTTTTGCAGTCCTCTATAATGTGTTTCTATTGTTCTCTTTATAGATTGCCACAGCCTTGAATGCTTTGAAAGAGATTAGGGTTATCCACAGAGATATAAAACCAGACAACGTCATGCTGGTGGATGAGACCCGACCCTTCAAAGTCAAGCTGATCGACTTTGGCTTTGCCACATCAACTTCCCTAACCAAGTATGGCGAGATTCTTCAAGTTCCGTGCTTCAGGTAAGCCTAGTAAAATGCTGGTAATGTACATGCATGTAATAAAACGCGGGTCAAACAAAACAGTACCAATACATGTGTCTTGACTTCTTTATGATTGTGTTCCTGACATTATCTCTTTTTTTTTTCTTCCATTAATAGAGCTCCGGAGATTATTCTAGGTCTACGATATTCAGAAGCCATTGACATGTGGTCAGTGGGCTGCACGGTGTTCTACATGCTCACTCACAGGCTCCTGTTTAGAGGAAGAACTGCTTATGACATAGTAAGTGTTTTTATATACTTTCCTCATTTTCTCACTTTAGCCAGGTTGAAACTAGTTGTGTTGGTGTTGCATGTGCTCATGTTTTTATGTGTTTAATTAACAGCTTAATCAGATCATCGAAACCTGTGGACAGCCACCGAACCATATGTTGAACGAAGGGAAATATACAGCAGAGTATTTTGTGAAGACCAAGAAAAATGGCTGGAGACTAAAAGTATTATATCAATTATCAGTATTGTTTTTATCATTATCTTTGTATGTAAATAGGACTAATGTCCATTGTTGGGAAAAATAACCTTCATATGAAACATATAACCTTCTTTCAGACACCTAAAGAGTACTGGGGCAACAATGTAAAAGACCGCCCACGGAGACAATTTACCAGCCTGGATGATCTCCAAAAAGTAAGTGTGATGTTTGGAATGTTTCACCACTAAATTGGTTTAAAGGAGGGGTATCATGCATTTTTTTTCAGACTCTATATTTCTCACAGTGGTATATTAAAATATTATTTTCGCCGCCGTCCTAAACACTCTATTTAAGCTGCTGTCCCTTTTACACCCCCTATATATATGTGAGTGTGTGTGTGTGTTGTAATTTTTTGAAACATGGAAAAAAAAATAATTATGGAAAAGCATGACTCCCCACCCCCCCAAAAAAGAAACAAAATAGAATCATCAGAATGACTTGACTAATTGTGGTTTTTTTTAACCAGGAGGGAATGAACACACATGAGCCTCAACAGTTCAAGCAGTGCATGGAGCTGATAAAGGCCATGTTGAAGATAGATCAACATAACAGGATCACTCCCTGTGATGTCCTTAGACATCCGTTCGTCACCCAGTAAGTGTGATTTTTTTAAACCATGCAATTGTTTTTAAGATCAAAGTAAAGAGAGGCCAGAATTGTTTTTGCCATTGGTCCTTACAAACCTTTTAGCTACAGTCCCATGAGTTTAACACATAATTTTTCTTTCTAACAGGAAAAATCAGACCAAGACCAGAGCGAGTACATCTGTGCGACCCTTGGATTTCAATCCCAGTGCAGCTCCTTTGGTCGATCTGATCGCTCAAACAAAGGTGATTTTGGTCCAACCTGCTTCACCCGAGAACACAATGCAGCTGAAACCCTTGGATTTCAATCCTAGTGCAGCTCCTTCGGTCGATCTGATCACTCAAACAAAGGTGATTATGGTCCAACCTGCTTCACCTGAGAACACAATGCAGCTGGAACCCTTGGATTTGAATCCTAGTGCAGCTCCTTCGGTCGATCTGATCACTCCAACAAAGGTGATTATGGTCCAACCTGCTTCACCCAAGAACACATCGCAGCTGGAAGACACCGAAAGAGAAGTCAGGTAAGAGAAACAAGTTCATTACTAATTCTTGACAACAGAAGGTGATGCTCATGGGAGATCAGCAAACACTCCCAATTTTCTACAAAGGGGTCACCAGAATCAACAAAAAAATTTCCTACTGTGTCCAATTAAAGACTGAATTCAGAAGATAGTAGAAGGAATAGAGCGCTAACTTTGTGTGTGTTTTTAGATTGCAGGCTGAGCCAAAAAAGACGCCGGAAGTCTCAAAGGCACATCCTCCACCACCAGATGCTGGAAAAGAGACAAAGAAGAAGAAGAAAAACTGCTGCCAGCGTTTCTTTGCCTGGATAAGGAAGACCTTCCGCTGCAATCAAGTGGGAGTCATGGGGGTTACTTGTTCAGAAACTTCATAAAACTGAATAGAACATGAAGAAAAAACAAACCCCCTCCCTCCCCCCTTACTCATTCTCTTTCTCTCACCCGCCCTCTCCCCTCTTCTCTCTCTCCCTCTCTCCCCCTATCTCTCTGTATTCCTCCCCAACCCAGCAGCGCATGGTGGCTGTCTGGCATGAGTCGGGTCCTGCTCAAGGTTTCTTCCTGTTAAAAGGAAGTTTTTTCTTGCCACTGTTACTCATGTCAGATGAGATGGGCCAAACCCCATCTTAGGTTGGGTCTTGATAATTCATCAAACAATAAGCGTGGTCTAGACCTGCTCTTGTAATGGGGCGGCACAGTTGCGTAGTGGTTAGCACTGTCACCTCACAGCAAGAAGGTCCTGGGTTCAAATCCAGCTCAGGGCATTTCTGTGTGGAGATTGCGTGTTCTCCCTGTGTCTGCATGGGTTTACTCCGGGTGCTCCGGTTTCCTCCCGTATCCCACAAGAAAAAAAAAAGAAAAAAAAACCTCAGTAACTCCGCCAAATTGTCTCAATTGGGCCATTTTTGCCGGTCCCAAGCCCGGATAAAGGAGGAGGGTTGGTATTGTGACATTAAAAACAAACAAGAATCGACAGAAGAAAGTTAATTTGTAGTTCAAAACATGTTTGGGGTGTTTTTTTACTCACTTTTTGTCTCTCCCAGGATGTTGTTCCTCTCCCTTACAATGTCCATTACATTAGATATGGAGTTTCTACATGGAAGTAGAAGAGGAGTTGAAGGCTTTTGAAGGTGTGGGAAGAAATGTGAGAAAACAGACCTTTTTGAACATTCCGTAATGCATTTCTAATGGGAGAAATTGGTCGGAAAACCGGGAGAAAAACACCCCTGAATCTCCTCAATGAGATGAATATTTTTAAGTTTAAATGGTTTGAATACGTTGAAGTATGTGTGTTGAATAATAATAATAAAGATATGAATAACATATAGTGGGAAAGCTTTGCAATCCCACTAAATAATAATAAAGAAATAGAAGAACAACAATAAGTGGACATGCTTAATCAGCATTTCCACTTCATAAATCATAAAAAACAAATGCTGCTGGTCAGAATTTAGGTTATTTGTTTACGTCTAAATTCGTTGCCATGGTAACACAATGAGCCTTTGCTCTATGGTAACACCATTCCATTGGGATGATGTCACAATGAGCCTTTGCTCTTTGATGATGATGTCACCATGAGCCTTTGATCTTTGATGACGTCATTCTCTTGACTGGAGGTTTGAGAAGTGTCAGACTGCTTATAAGCGAAAGATAGAAGCCTTTACCATCAAGAAAAAAAGAGTCCAAACGAGTTTGCTTGTTTATTTTTTGGCTTCTCAGTGACAGAGAAAATGGCATTTGATAACAACAAAACCTATGAACTACCCAAAAAATACAAGTACCTGAAAGATTTGGGTGAGGGCTCATACGGGGTAGTGGTACAGTGTTTGAACACAGACACCAACAAAACTGTGGCCATAAAGATCCCCAAACTGAAAATGTTATATGACAGCGAGGTAAGTATTTTTGTTTTGAAAGCTCACAGCAGATTTTGTACATATGGAGATACAGCAGGTGTTGTCTATTTACAAAGTTATAGTTAAGTTGTCTGTCAGTAGCTGCAGTATAAACAATACAGGTAAAAGAGACAGAAATCTGCATTTGCTTTTTTAATCAAACATTTGGAAGTCAATTTGAATTTTAATTTGTGCCACATCTAAGAGTGGCTTGAATCATTTTTTGAGTGTCGGTCATCTTAATAAATGTGATTGACTCACCTCTGGCTTAGTTCAGGTAAAAAGTAAGACCTGGGAATGAAATAGGAATAGTCTGACTGACTGACTAAATATAGATGTGAACATTAAAACATGAACATTAAAACATGTGCTTTGTGTCCTCAGATGAAATCGATGAGAATGTTGATGAGGCGAGGGCTAAACCGTCGCAACATTGTCAAGTTCCATGAAAGCTTCAGTACGATGAATGGGGAAGCGCTGGTCTTTGAAAATTTAGGTATCAACATACAGAGCTACATAGATAAAGGTGTACGCGGACAAATGATGTTGTCGGACGTCAGGACCATCACTGTGCAGGTTTGTATACACCATCCTGAGGAAGGAGTTTGTATTTCCAAATATATATTCTTAATTATTCATTTCATTGTATTAGTCTGTTAAACTTTTGCAGTCCTCTATAATGTGTTTCTATTGTTCTCTTTATAGATTGCCACAGCCTTGAATGCTTTGAAAGAGATTAGGGTTATCCACAGAGATATAAAACCAGACAACGTCATGCTGGTGGATGAGACCCGACCCTTCAAAGTCAAGCTGATCGACTTTGGCTTTGCCACATCAACTTCCCTAACCAAGTATGGCGAGATTCTTCAAGTTCCGTGCTTCAGGTAAGCCTAGTAAAATGCTGGTAATGTACATGCATGTAATAAAACGCGGGTCAAACAAAACAGTACCAATACATGTGTCTTGACTTCTTTATGATTGTGTTCCTGACATTATCTCTTTTTTTTTTCTTCCATTAATAGAGCTCCGGAGATTATTCTAGGTCTACGATATTCAGAAGCCATTGACATGTGGTCAGTGGGCTGCACGGTGTTCTACATGCTCACTCACAGGCTCCTGTTTAGAGGAAGAACTGCTTATGACATAGTAAGTGTTTTTATATACTTTCCTCATTTTCTCACTTTAGCCAGGTTGAAACTAGTTGTGTTGGTGTTGCATGTGCTCATGTTTTTATGTGTTTAATTAACAGCTTAATCAGATCATCGAAACCTGTGGACAGCCACCGAACCATATGTTGAACGAAGGGAAATATACAGCAGAGTATTTTGTGAAGACCAAGAAAAATGGCTGGAGACTAAAAGTATTATATCAATTATCAGTATTGTTTTTATCATTATCTTTGTATGTAAATAGGACTAATGTCCATTGTTGGGAAAAATAACCTTCATATGAAACATATAACCTTCTTTCAGACACCTAAAGAGTACTGGGGCAACAATGTAAAAGACCGCCCACGGAGACAATTTACCAGCCTGGATGATCTCCAAAAAGTAAGTGTGATGTTTGGAATGTTTCACCACTAAATTGGTTTAAAGGAGGGGTATCATGCATTTTTTTTCAGACTCTATATTTCTCACAGTGGTATATTAAAATATTATTTTCGCCGCCGTCCTAAACACTCTATTTAAGCTGCTGTCCCTTTTACACCCCCTATATATATGTGAGTGTGTGTGTGTGTTGTAATTTTTTGAAACATGGAAAAAAAAATAATTATGGAAAAGCATGACTCCCCACCCCCCCAAAAAAAGAAACAAAATAGAATCATCAGAATGACTTGACTAATTGTGGTTTTTTTTAACCAGGAGGGAATGAACACACATGAGCCTCAACAGTTCAAGCAGTGCATGGAGCTGATAAAGGCCATGTTGAAGATAGATCAACATAACAGGATCACTCCCTGTGATGTCCTTAGACATCCGTTCGTCACCCAGTAAGTGTGATTTTTTTAAACCATGCAATTGTTTTTAAGATCAAAGTAAAGAGAGGCCAGAATTGTTTTTGCCATTGGTCCTTACAAACCTTTTAGCTACAGTCCCATGAGTTTAACACATAATTTTTCTTTCGAAAAGGAAAAATCAGACCAAGACCAGAGCGAGTACATCTGTGCGACCCTTGGATTTCAATCCCAGTGCAGCTCCTTTGGTCGATCTGATCGCTCAAACAAAGGTGATTTTGGTCCAACCTGCTTCACCCGAGAACACAATGCAGCTGAAACCCTTGGATTTCAATCCTAGTGCAGCTCCTTCGGTCGATCTGATCACTCAAACAAAGGTGATTATGGTCCAACCTGCTTCACCTGAGAACACAATGCAGCTGGAACCCTTGGATTTGAATCCTAGTGCAGCTCCTTCGGTCGATCTGATCACTCCAACAAAGGTGATTATGGTCCAACCTGCTTCACCCAAGAACACATCGCAGCTGGAAGACACCGAAAGAGAAGTCAGGTAAGAGAAACAAGTTCATTACTAATTCTTGACAACAGAAGGTGATGCTCATGGGAGATCAGCAAACACTCCCAATTTTCTACAAAGGGGTCACCAGAATCAACAAAAATTTCCTACTGTGTCCAATTAAAGACTGAATTCAGAAGATAGTAGAAGGAATAGAGCGCTAACTTTGTGTGTGTTTTTAGATTGCAGGCTGAGCCAAAAAAGACGCCGGAAGTCTCAAAGGCACATCCTCCACCACCAGATGATGGAAAAGAGACAAAGAAGAAGAAGAAAAACTGCTGCCAGCGTTTCTTTGCCTGGATAAGGAAGACCTTCCGCTGCAATCAAGTGGGAGTCATGGGGGTTACTTGTTCAGAAACTTCATAAAACTGAATAGAACATGAAGAAAAAACAAACCCCCTCCCTCCCCCTTACTCATTCTCTTTCTCTCACCCGCCCTCTCCCCTCTTCTCTCTCTCCCTCTCTCCCCCTATCTCTCTGTATTCCTCCCCAACCCAGCAGCGCATGGTGGCTGTCTGGCATGAGTCGGGTCCTGCTCAAGGTTTCTTCCTGTTAAAAGGAAGTTTTTTCTTGCCACTGTTACTCATGTCAGATGAGATGGGCCAAACCCCATCTTAGGTTGGGTCTTGATAGTTCATCAAAGAATAAGCGTGGTCTAGACCTGCTCTTGTAATGGGGCGGCACAGTTGCGTAGTGGTTAGCACTGTCACCTCACAGCAAGAAGGTCCTGGGTTCAAATCCAGCTCAGGGCATTTCTGTGTGGAGATTGCGTGTTCTCCCTGTGTCTGCATGGGTTTACTCCGGGTGCTCCGGTTTCCTCCCGTATCCCACAAGAAAAAAAAAAGAAAAAAAAACCTCAGTAACTCCGCCAAATTGTCTCAATTGGGCCATTTTTGCCGGTCCCAAGCCCGGATAAAGGAGGAGGGTTGGTATTGTGACATTAAAAACAAACAAGAATCGACAGAAGAAAGT